GGTTTTTATTCTTGATTAGATCTTGAAATTCTTTTCAGGATCTTTAAGACTCCCACTGTCCTCTTAACATATATGACTGTCTTGCCAAATATTCAAGAGATAGTTTGGATTCTTTATCAATACAAACACTTCACATAATTGGTCTTAGTTGGTCTTTGTTTTCTCCAAAACATCACAACTCACCAATTTCAAATGTACAAGAGTAGGACACAGTTTACTCTTACATTTGACTAGTGTTAATAAACATTCCTTTAAGATATGTCACTGAAGTTACAATCTTGGAGTATGAATCTAAGAATTGTTTTTGGAACGAGGTATGAATCATCTTCTTGATTTGACCACTTCAACAATTCATATCTCCTCTTCTTAGCAATCAGAATGCACTTAGAGGAAGAATTATGATAAGGTCTCTTAATCATTAAGATGATCATATAACATGATACTAAAGTACTCTCCCATCTTTTCAGATTTGAGAAACTTTTATCCTTCTACCTAATTTGATTCTTCTCATTCGTTCTGCCATGCATCTGGAAGTTTTCCAATGTCTCATAATTATACTTAAGCTTGTAACTATAACCATATTTACTAAACTTTAGTAAATCATGATGAATAGTCTTATAGATCTTTTGTGGTGGACTTAATCAGTGCACAAGAATGTGTACTTGATCCCTTAGTCCTTCACTTGACTCACATATAAATGTGAACAAGGAACTAGTCTTAATTTTCCAAAGCTGAAAGTTCTCATTTATCATACTGTATAACTTGTATGATTTCCAAGTTTCTATCCAACTAAAACTTTGGTGATGAGAATCTTTCCTTATTTGGTAAATTTAGACACTACCACAAATGAAAGAATCAAATTCATATTTCCACTCTTGCTATTAATGGAATCATATAAGTAACAAAAAAATTCACAAATGTCAGTGTAAGGATATTTTAGAATAAAATCAAAATTTTACCTTTTATTTTAAAAACTTTGCGGAAAAACTATCCTTACAGTGCAAAAACCACATGAAACCTTTGCTGTTATCTATTCCTAAGCAATATATCATAACTCCTAAGAAGTAGCTCAAGAATCCGATCTTCAAACTATGTGATAGAAATCCATCTACGCGATCATATTCAGCATGTTCTTTCTTTAAGTTTCTTCACTTTTCTTTGATTCTTAAAACATCAACATGTGACCCAATCACGTCATGTATCAAGAATCTTAGAATAGAAACTTAACAGAGTTAGATAGTGGACTTTACCTGAAGTAGAGTCAATCTTCTTGACTTGGTCAACCTTATGATCTTGCAGGTAAATATGGCAGCTTCGCAAACAATGCCCTTTCCTTTTGGCAATAGAACCATATGGACCCTTTGGGAATGGTACATGGGACAATCTCAAACTTAGCCTTTCTCTTTACCATTTGGTCAACCGAGTAGACTATGACCAATCCCTTTACATTGGGAAGAGAAGGCTTTTACTGGGTATCCAATGCACCCATTGTGAATGTCAGACTTAGCCTCGGCCCCCGCCCGGTATACATATAAACACATACCACATGCACGAGTCACGCAGGCAACTAGCATCCTAATAATAACAAACCATGGATTTGCATTGGTGCCTTCGACTTGTCAAGTACAGTGAGGAAAAATCCTTGCGCTAACACCACATAATAATATCCAATCAATAATTGGGTTACAACCCAAAACTATAATCCTAGTCCAGTTGTCCAATAACATTTTGTTCACTTATTTTACCCTTGGGGCATTGCTCCATCAGAGGCATGGTGCAATGAAGTTTAAAGGTTATTTGTTAGTGGAACACTACTTTCACATTACCATTCTCTTCCATGGTGTTTTGTCGGTGTTTCCTTGTTTCATATTTTAACTATTTTGCCCTTGGTGTTAGGTTGAATCCTTATTACATATTGATCCTATATGATTCCTTTATGGTGTATGGTTTTGTTTATTGGAATTCTCTTATGGAAATGTTCAAATTGGTAGTTCAAGTGGTTAACCTTCTCTTTTGAGTTTTGCGTTTTGACTTATTTGCCTTTAGGTTGGAAGAAGTGGAGTGGGAAAGGTGAGTGGAAATAGGAACCGTACCTAGGTGCAGTTTACGAGGTACATGAAAAGGGCGAAGGGGAGAGTGACCCACCCTTTCTCTCCTAATGTGATTGACCAACTCTATGTTTTGTATTTTCTCTATTGTTTTTAGCTTTTATTTTATATATATATATATATATATATATATATATATATATATTATATATATATATATATATATATATATTAAAATTTATGGTTTTTTAATTTCCTACAAATAAAGTATAATATTAGTATAAAATATATTTTCAAAAAAATAAATAAATAATAAAGGGAAATGAAAGATGATTGTTTCCTGATTTTTAGTGAGTGAAAAATGAATGAATGAAATTTAAGGTGACATAGAAAAAATAAAGGGAAGTGATTCGTACGCAACACATTTTTACTATAAACAACAATTCATGCATTATATAGTTGTACAATATAATATTTTAAAGCATCAATTGTTATGTATAAAGAAGAATTGTTGTGTACGGATCAGCTCGAAAAAATAAACGATGAAATGTGATTACACTGGTTTGTGTTAGATAGTTTCCATCTTTATAATCTATGTTTTTCCAACTTCTTTTGTACTCAAATTCCCGTTGGCTTTTGACTTTTGTTTAGTTATATAAATTTTGCTCTTCTAATTTTTTTTTTAACTTTATACACAACTAAGTTCCTATACACACTATATTTTTCTAACATTTTTTTCTAAAATAACTGTTTATTCATAAGAACTATACTGTAGTAAAAGAATTACATAAAAAATATACTTAAGAGATAAAATTGATCGCCAACGAATAATATAGTGATATACGATTCGTGTAATTTAAATTTTAAACCATACTACATTATCATTTACTAAAAAAATAAGCATCTTATGAATACACTCATAAAAACTATATCGTGGTAAATTTTTCTTAAATATGATTTTTTTCACGATAAATAATCGCCCACTCCCGAACATACTACAAACTCATAAGTGATAAAATTGATGGGGAAATAGTTTTTATATGTGGAGTGGTCATATACCTTTATATATAATTATTTTGATAAATATATTTTTCTTTTACATTTCAAGAGCTGAAAATTTATAACCTTATTTCTTTAATTGGAAAATATTAAGTTTTAGTTTTCATGAAAAAATTGTTCGCATATGAATTTATAGATTCATTTTATGTAACATAAAAAATATATATATGCAACACTAAACACAAATCACAACTCAAAGCATACAGCCAAAAATCAGATTGGGAATATGACTTATCAAGGTAATTAACTTTCGGTATGTTCACATCTGGGTAACTATCTTTTTTTTGTACATATGTAGGTAACAAACTTTTTGGAAGTGTTCACATATGACCATTATGACCTGTTATAGCAGGTTAAATCGTAGATGTGAACGCTTTCAACAAGTTTGTTACCTAGATGTGTAAAAAAAAATAGTTACCCATATGAACACAACGAAAAGTAAAAATTAAATTACATGAATGGTCCCTGTGGTTTGGGGGAATTTGTAGTTTTGATCGCTAACTTATTTTTTTTACTTAAATGGTTCCTACTGTTTATTTTTGTTGCGCGTTTGGTCCCCGTCTTACCTAAAAATACTATTGTGCCCTTATTAATTTATTTTTTTAATTAATTTTCTTATCTATGTATTTATTTTTTACATATTTTTAAAAATTAATAGACCACACATATTTGTATCTCCTCGGATGATCTCTACTATTTATTTTTTAATTAATTTAATTTTTTTTAACTCGGATGGTCCTTACTATTTAATTTTGTTACGAACTTGGTCTCTGTCTTACCTAAAAAGACTATTGTCCCCTTATTAATTTTTTTTAATTAGTTCTCTTGTTTGTGTACTTATGCTTTATATGTTTAAGAAAAATTAGTAGACCTCACATATCTGTATCTCCTCACCATCCCATCTTTCATCATTCTCAACTTCTATTTATTTTTCATTTTTAGTGATATCGACGTCTTCATCATCACTTCTTTTTTCGGTCCTTCAACTCCGTCGAATCAACACCACAACCCACTAAAGATGAAGAGATAGTAGGTTATGGTGTTGGTTCGTCAGAGTTGAAGTACCAAAAAAAAAAAAAAAAAAGACGATGAAGACGTCGATGTTACTAAAGATGGAAAAAAATAGAAGATTGGGAGGATCAGATATGAGATGGTGAATGGTAAGACTCAAATTAAATTTCTCAAATGTGGTTTCAGGTTTACGGTGCTTACATACATACATGTAGGGTATATTAATTTTTTTTTATAAAAAATAAATACATAAATAAGAAAATTAATTAAAAAAATTAATAAGAGAAAAATAGTATTTTTAGATAAGACAGAGATCAAACGCGTAACAAAAATAACAGTAAGGATCATCCGAGTTAAAAAAAAAATTAATTAAAAATAAACAGTAGAGATCATCCGAGAAGATACAAATATGTGTGGTTTATTAATTTTTTTAAATATGTAAAAAATAAATACGTAGATAATAAAATTAATTTAAAAAATAAATTAATAAGGGCACAATAATATTTTTAGGTAAGACGGGAACCAAATGCGCAACAAAAATAAACAGTAGGGACCATTTAAGTTAAAAATATAAATTAGTGACCAAAACCACAAATTCCCCCAAACCACAGGGACCATTCATGTAATTTAATTTTTAATTTTCGTTTTGTTCATATTTGGGTAACTATTTTTTTGTACACATAAAGGTAACAAACTTGTTGAAAGCGTTCACATCTAGGATTTAACCTGCTATAGCAGGTCATAATGATCATATGTGAACACTTCCAAAAAGTTTGTTACCTAGATATATACAAAAAAAAAGATAGTTATCCAGATGTGAACATACCGAAAAGTTAATTACCTTGATAAGTCATATTCCCAATCAGATTTGGGCTCCAATCCATGCCTCCACAAATCAACCAACCAAACGACGATTTTAATCATCATGCGGATCACCATCGTACGGTTGGAAGTCCAACAATCCCACGGTGAATATCACACCTCTCCTAGGCACAAAATTCCATCTCCATCATTCATATAAAACCCTAACCCCAGTATTACAACGAGTACTCGTATTAGCATACACAAAAAACATAAACACAAACAAAATCTCTGGAAGAGGAAAAGGAGGCAAAGGATTGGGAAAGGGAGGAGCAAAACGTCACCGGAAAGTTCTCCGTGACAACATCCAGGGAATCACAAAGTCGGCGATTTGCCGTCTTGCGAGGCGTGGCGGCGTTAAGCGTATAAGCGGTCTTATCTACGAGGAAACACATGGTGTGTTGAAGATCTTCCTCGAGAACGTTATTCGTGACGCTGTTACTTACACCGAACATGCTCGCCGGAAAACCGTCACTACGATGGACGTTGTCTATGCATTGAAGCGTCAGGGTCGTACACTGTACGGATTCGGTGGTTAAGTTAACTTAGGGTATTTATTGTTAGGTTCTTTAGATTTTCGATTTGCTTCGTTTTGTTATTGAAATGTATGGTATATCAGCTTAATCGAAGCTCGATTGTGACGTGTATACTTTCTATCAAAAGATCTACTGTTAATTTTCGAACTTGATTATTTTAATAATTGTAAACTTATAGTACATTTTGAAATCACCTTTATCACAAGAAATCTCACAATGATCACAAGCCATGATAATACATAAACTTGCAATAAGACGTAAATTGTCACAATGATTTAGTGCAAACGCTAGATGCAAGTACATGAACACTAAAAATGCAGAATTTTTGTGCTCTTGTTAATGTTGAAGTGATAAACAAGTCCAAACTGATAAGTAAAAACAACATGCGCCAACACTATCTCTATAACAATGCTCCTTACCCCTGAAGAACAAAGATGTTCTTGTTCCTTTTCCCACCATCGTTCCCGACTTTTATCAGTTGAAACGCCAGGAATTATCTATCCATGCATTCCAATTCGTCCAATCATCAACAATTGTTTGCCACTCAAATCGACGACATGATCCATACATTCTTCAATAGTTTTTCTAACATGCTCCTCAATCTGGTTGTTGTCATCTCGCTCGAAGATCTCTTCCAGACATGCCTTGCACTGTCGAGTTTGTCGTGGAGGCATGATTCAGAATCGCTTGATTCTGATACCAACAGATGCAACGGAAACCTAGGATTTGATAAATCAATCACAAATGTTGATTTGTACACACAAATACCAACGGCGACTCTTCCAAACCCGTTGATTCACAGTTACGTGAATACCGAATCAAGGCAACAATACACAATCCAGCAAAGAATTAAGTATTGGAACAGATGGAAACAAAATATTCTTTTAGTAAGAAGGGTCATGCTAATTGGACTCTATGCAATTGTTAACACTTTTAGTTTTTTTTTTTTTTTTTTAGAAAAATATTCTTTCCCAAGGACAACTTAATCTTGTTATATTCAAACCAAGTTGATATATTTTGTTATAAGAAAACCAATTGTAATGTCGAATAAAATTATGCTCTCAAACAATAATCTGCGTCGAACTTTTAAAATACCTTAGAGTATATACATGTTGTTATCTCTTATAAGGTGTTTTCTAAGTTTTTTAATACCTATTTATTTCAGATGGTTTTTATATAATATATTTGTGTTATGAAACGAAAAGAACGGTCAACTTTTGTTTTTTATTTTTAAATGCATACCAAGTTTGTAATAAATAAACTTGATATTATAGCTTATATAATTCTAAATCAACCAAAACATTTTTTTGCTTGTTTTTTTTTTCATATGAATCCTAAGAGGAAGCATATTTTCCAATTTATTAGCAAGTTTCCATCACTAAGACCATATTTAGAACATGGACAAAACAACATCAAGATTGCTTGAAATTGGCTTGTCCGAATAGGAAATTATAGTCATTGAGAAAATGGTGAGTATATCTTCCTAATATTTCACATAATATCACAAACTTTCTAAAAAATGTTTTTAAAGTTTCAAATCCTTTTAATTCATGGTACTTTTTAAGGTTATTTTAGACCGGTGGCGGAACCAGATAAAGCATTGGGGGTACTACAGCACCCTAAAAAAATTCTTGTATATATATAAAAAAATTATTTGTAAACATTTCTATGTTATTGTACTCCAATTAAAAGGATTATATCATATTTTTTAATGTCTCAAATATGATAACTGCATATAATATTTATTATAATTTTTGTATCATTGATAATTTTTAGCTCCGTCATTATTTCACACCAAGAAGTAGTGAAATAATTTTGATTCATGCTTACTTTTTTTAGGTCATTTCAAACCAAAAAGGTAGTGGACATAGCAATAAAGGATCAATGGGCAATAAGAACAAGACAAAGATGTATTTCATCATTATTCCCACTAGCCCTCGACAGGTTGGTGAGAAATCATAACAGGAAATGACAATGGACATTTATTTTCTTTTTCTTATTCATGCCTTATACATTGAAAATTACAGTACTTTTTTTGACTCTTATATATTATTTATTCTCATAACAGCAAATTATTTATTCTGTGAACCCGAGACACAGCCTCCACTTTTGACTCTTATATATTAAGCATCTTAAGGTTTTTTATATGACTCCTTCATTTCTAGCAAGCAAATCAAGTTGTGTGTTCAACAGAAAAAACAAGGTATACATTGCCATTTCTCTTTATATCTTTCTCCCTCTCACTAGCTCTCTTTATATAAATATTTATGTATATACATATGTTTTTATTGAGTGGAGAAAACCACATGTTCATGCTTATAAAAGATTTTAATGGACATTATCGCCTAGGAAACAAGAGGTGTGCCTGGTTGGTGATGATGAGCTCACCATAGGCAGGAGTTCGTATATCCAGGTCTCTCTCTCTCTCTCTCTCTCTCTCTCTCTCTCTCTCTCTCTCTCTTATCTTTTATAATATTTGATTAGGAAGTTATAAATTTAGTATAATTTTACAATCAAATAATGAATTATATTGTCGAAATCAGATTTTTTTAGTATGGCCGATCAATAGTTGATTTTTATTATTTGTTGAAAATAAAATATTCTTTGTAAAGCAAAAACCATATATAATGTTGAAAAAAAAGTTATAGTTTATAGTTTATACCAATAACATGTTTCGATTCCACATCTATAGATTAACGATATCAAAACCAATGGGGACGGAGATGTCTGAAAACGAAGATGTAAGAATTGAAATGCTGAGTAATCAATCGGAAATGACCGATAACATTAACCACAACTATGCTCGGGAGTGGGAATTCTGCATTCATTACAATGAAACCATCCAACTTTCGCAACGCAAACAAAAAATTGAGAAAGTACCCCCATTGCTCTTAAAAGGAGAAAAAGGTGGAAGAAACCACCAATGCTACGAGCCTGCGGTGGTTTCACTTGGCCCTTACCACCATAAACGAGATGACCTCGCCGCAGCAGAGAAATACAAGCTAATAACCCTCGAAGAGTATAGTTTGAGCTGCAAAAAAACCGTGGATTCGTTATACAATGAAGTGTTTGAGGTAGTTCAAGAAGCTAGAAAGTGCTATGTCGATGGTTCTACAGACGAATACAACGACAAGGAGTTTAATGAAATGATGTTGCGTGATGGTTGCTTCGTTTTGTTCTTTATAGATTGCATTGCTAGCAGGCCGAATACTATGTTGATGCTAAATAATGAGTATTTAGGCGCATTGGGCTTCATGCATGTAGCTCGTGACATTTTGTTGCTCGAGAACCAAATCCCGTTTATGGTACTCCAGGTTTTGTTGGATTTGCGATTCCCAAAAGATAGAGGTGAAAGGATCTTAAATGAGTTCTTTAACTACTTGAACTATGGTGAAATAACCACGAGGGAAGAAAAGGTGCTTGAAAATAAGAAGCAACCTCTTCATCTTCTCGAGCTTTACAGGTCCTATTTCATCTCGCTTTCCTCCCACTTCGATGTTCATGCGAATGCTAATGCAAAATCAAATTATGTAAAGCGAAATCGATCTTTTGCGTCGGTTACAGAACTCAAAGCTAAAGGTATTTTCTTGAAACGTATTAACGTCAATGACGAGTCTTCTAAAGAAGACATCAAGTTTCACTCTCATTGTTGCTATGGCGAGCTTGAGCTTGTGCGACGTGCGGTGTACTCGAATTCAAAAGCTATATACTTGAATATGATCGCTTACGAGTTGTGTCCTCATAATCCAAATGACCTTCGAGTTTCTACTTATATTCGAGTAATGAAATCGTTGGTTGTTCATCGTGATGACGTGAAGGAGTTACGAGACAACAAGATATTGCTTCATAGTCTTGGTCGAGATGAAGATGTGGTGAAGATGTACGATGAGATTGAAACACTAGCAGTTAATGTCCACATGTTTAACCAGATTCGACGAGGAATTGAGAAGCATTGTAATAACAAGTATAAGACGTGGGCAGCAGAGTTGATTAATGTTTACTTTTGTAGTCCATGGAAGACTGTAGCTTTGTTGGTGGCTACTGCTATTCTGTTCACTAGTTTTCTGCAGACTTACTTCGCCATTAGGCCACCTCCAGATGAATCCACTGGGGATATGCTCGAGCTTTTGAGACATTGTGTACACTCTAAGCCTCCTTCTGCACCTACTTAATCGAAAGGTGTTCATGTCACACCAATTATGAGATATTTTTTGTTAGAGCTTATCTATAACACGTTATAACAAGTGTTATACATGTGTGGTGGATTGGTTGACATATGAAAAAAAATAGATTGATTTTACTTTGTTATATATAATCTTTATTTAATTTGTTCTCTTGTTATCATTGTACAATAACAAATATACCCAATTAGATTATATATGAATGAATAAAAGAATAAGAATAGATTAAAAGACAATACAATAAAAGAATAACATTGGATGGATTAAAACGCAATCAAGTTCAAAACAAGAAAATATTACAAAAAAATGTCAAAGCTATTGTTTATTGTTTAATTACATCCCAAATTCATTCCTACATTGTTCATTGTTGTAAATGCCTTAATAAAGTAATTTGTTATTCTGGTGGTCTCACAAAGTATATTGTTAATTACTCAGTTACCACATGTATTATATAAAATCAAAATAGAATAAACAAAACATAAAATAATTTATTTACAATGTTTTTTATTTCATAAAAAATGTGTTATAACTTACTTAGTTGTCTGCCCATGGTTTGAAGCATTGAATGCCGTATTGAAACAAATAGTCTAAATGTAAAAGCAGAAAAAAAAAAATTGTGAGAATATTACATATGTCAAACGATATGTTATAACTTACATAAGTATACTCCCCATATTTTACATGACATAGATGCATCAATAGGATCATTCCCCATATTTTACCTCCGGCATAGATGTATCAATAGGATCGTCTTTGATATTATCACAAAAATCCTAATTGGAAAAATAAAAAATGTAAATTTTCGTTGAGTGTTCATTCAAATTATACATCTCACCATCATCACCTTTTCACAATGAAGCTTAGTAAAATTGGAAACTTTGAAGTTCACTAAGGGCACCATTTCATAAGGAAAATGAATGAGAATTGTTATAGTTCATTATTAGAAAGGGATAAACCAAATAACCATTAAAGTACTTTTATTTATTTGTGTATTCTTGTACTTTCATTTATCGTTCATTATCATTGCTAACTACTCGAGGGTATAATAGAAATCATGAAAGAGAATATATAAGAGAATGATCACCTTGTGGGCTTGTATCAATATTAGACTTACTTTCAGGGGTTACTGATAACACCATACATTACTTATTATCATAAAAAGCATCCTACTCTTTTTGTGTTACAAATATTGAACATATATTAAAGTCTAAGAGTAATCGAGGCACAACATAATAAGCTAGATCTTCAGTGATATCTACAACAAATAGGAACTCCAAGGGGCCTCCATAAAGGGACGTTAAATGTATGTAAGGATCCATATTATCAATTATGATATGTACTAATGAAAAACTATATATAATTAAATTAGAAGAAAAAAAACATCTCTTGCGTCAAGGTAAACATGTGGTAAAAATGTAAAATAGATACTTGTGTTCTCCAGTTGTGCAGATTGTGTTCTCTGAAACCTTTCAAGGGCATCAAAATCGTGACACCTGGCAATTGGATCTTTTTAGAGTGCTCAAGGTCGTGAAAACAACAACAAAACCAATTATAGCTGCCAATTATTACTTGTAATATCTGCATTCATCGTTATATAAATTCAACCAAAAAAAAGCTAGAACCCACTAAACATTCAAGATCAGGTTTTTCATTGTTGCAGCCCACCACCTAACGTTAAAATATCATTACATCTACCCACTACAAAACCATACGTCTAATGAACTTTTTGTGGGGTTGTCTATATTCAAAGTTATAAATCAAATCCACTATAGCGACATTTACAAATTACTAATGAATACACAGTTGAAAAGAAAATTGTCACAATGTTATTTTATTCCTGCACACCAACAGGAGAAAGAAAAATAAGGCAAAACATGCAAAGAAGATTAAAGTGCTACCTTTTTGAAATCACTAAAAAACAATGAACAAACACGTCAATTTGGCTGAAATTTACTTCCTCTGTTCAACAAATTGACATATCATTTTTCATTGAGTTGTCACAATCACAGACTAACTTTTCACTCCAGGATTCATAATTTAGACCTCAAAATAATCGCAATAACCACCAATTTCAATTGTGATTAATGATCGAATGCCACTATCTCAGACACTCCAGGCTTTTGATTTGAAAAAAAATCTATCAAAGAATTGATTGCATCAAAGTTTCAAACATATTTTGGGCCCAGGACTGAGAGAAAAAAAACGAATCCTTAAAATACACGAACATCATCAAGTTTTTTATAATAACTCAATAATTAAAATAAAATTAATTGTATTATCTTCTAAATATAACAATTTTCATAAAAAAAAAAATTAGGCACCTTTAAAAGATGGACTCTGAACGGTCACCCCTTTCGCCCGTCCTCTGGAACAGTCCTGCATATGATCAATTGGGATGTGCAAAGTCATTAAGAAACCTCGATTTCAGTTTTTGATGATTGGAGGTATTTTCTGTCCCTTGCAGCATAACAAGCTGCTGAACTACTTTTGGAATCTTTTCCCCGGGTAGTAAGCTCTCCCCCACTTGGAGTACAAACCCTTACTATCTTTTGCCTACATTCAATCGGTGATTCAAACTGGTTTAGCCAGTCCATACCTACTGTTACGTTCATCTCTCGCATAGGAATGAGAGTGAGGTTTATTGGGAAACTACCGTTGCTTATTCTTAAAGTACAACTACAATTAACCTTTGAGACTTTAACTGTTTGATCGACAACTATTCTATTCTTAGGTGATGCTCTAAATCTCATATGGTGTTATTAAGGCTATTGCTAAACTTAAGTGATACGAATGAAAGACTTGATCCATAATCGAATAACACTAAGGCGGGTATGGCATTGACTAGAAAACGTACCAGCTACGACGTCTAGAGCCTCATTGGCTTCTCCTGTCGTGAGCTCAAAGGCTCGCCCCTTGGCCCTTAGAGCCTCAGCTCTGCCCAAACGCCCATAAGTTATCCTCAGCTTTGTAGGTGTCAGAGCTTGTATTACACCCGATGGTTTTAGAAAACAACATTCACCCTTGAAGTGACCTAGTTGGTTGCAATTGAAATAGAAGCGCACGTTCTGTTTGTAGTCTGTGAAATAATGCCCTTCCTTGCCACATTTGTGGCACCTAGGTCTGTTTGACAAGGAACATCATGAAATTTTCCGCACTTGTAAGTGTGTCCCTTATGATTTCCTAACCTTGAACCATTGGATTTGAATTTCTTGGTTGTTGGCTGAGATGGGGCCGAAGTCTGCATTTTCTCATTTGTATGGGTTTCCAACTTGATTTCTCTCATCATGACATGCTCTTGCATCTATACTAAAGTCTTGTATCTTTTGTTTGATACAAACTCCATATTGTCAGTCTTGAGCATGCTCAAATACCGAGACATTTTCATTATTTTGAGGATGCATACTTGGGGCATAACAAGGCTCTCTTACTGAACATCTTGGTGATCTTTGTCACTAATTCAACTGTCTGCTTGAGCGTCAAGACTCTATGAGCCAGTCACTTTATTTCGTATCTTTTTCGAACTTCGTTTTTGACGTTCTGTATATCCATGCGTAATTATCGACTAGATCTATAACTTTCGTTTAGACTTTGTCAATTAATTCTTACTTTATTTTTAAAAGTTATATTTTTAACATGCTTAGACTATTAAAGTTCGTGTTAAAACTATAAATCTCCCATATGACATCCGTTCTCGACCATCTTTATATCGACAAATTCATATTCACAAGATTTTCAACTCATGTTTAAATTATGTTGGCTAACAGTCAACCGATTTGAATTTCGATTTTTGTGTCCACACTGCTGCGCTGAAACTTCGAAAAATTATAACTTCGTCATACGAACTCAGATTTGGATGTTTCCTACATGTATGCTTTCAGTTTTATGATTTTTACGACTTTTGTTTAGATTTTTTAGGTTAACAAGCAACCTATCTAAAATACTCTTTTTACAATACGTAAGACCGTATCAAATTCATCGTGAAACTTCGAAGAAGTATAATTTCTTCATACGAAGTCGGATTTAAGCGTTTTATATATATCTATGAAAATCATAGTGACGTTTTCTACATGTTTATGATTATTATTTTGGCTCAAAAGTGATATATTTTTATTTTGTATTTCATAATAATTATTTAATATTACAATTTACGAAAGTAGTGAAAATAAGATGTTATAATATCTTTCTAAAAGAAATATCTACTCATAATAACTATACGGTGGTGAAAGAATTACATAAAAAATATATTTCGTGAGATAAAATTGACCACCAATGAATAATATAATGATTTACGATTCTTGTGGTTTAAACCATATAATGTATTATCACTTGCAAATAATAGATATCTTATGCATACACTCATAAAAACTATTGTGATAAATTTTATTGAAATATGATTTTTTCAAGATGAATAATTGCTTACTCTGGAATATAGTCATATACTACAAACTCACAATTGATAAAACCGACAGGGAAAATGGTTTTCGTATGTGGAGGTCATATATACCTTCATGATTAGATTAAACGCAATGAACACGCTATGGGTATTCGCTACACTCACTATGGGCTCTGAAACACCGTCCTCTAGCGCTCACTAAGGGATCGCTGAATGCATCTCGTTGCAATCTTGACGAGATGAAATAGAAAGAGAAAGAAAGGGTTGTGATTGGCTTGGCTGGCTTCACTTTTTTTTTTTTTTTTTTTTTTTTTTTTTTTTTTTTTTTTTTTTTTTTAATAAAAATAACACGAGTTTCGACAGTGTGAAAGTAAACCTTTATTTTTGTAGATTTGTTGCGTTGTTTTGGTTGTTCTTTTTAACCGTACAAATGGGGAAGAAGACATAGCAATCATGATTTGGCGGTTTTAGTCCCTCAATTTTAGCTTTATGACAGATTAAACCCCAACTTATAATTTCTTTTACAATCTAAATTTCTAGAATTAACAAAAACCCTCTGAAAAACCTTATTGTAACTTTTTTTTAATTAAATATGAAA